GGAGGCCTGGCCCAGAGGCCGCGGATTGATGGGAAGGAGGCCACGAGGCCCACACAGTCCCAATTTGGATACCTCGGGCATGTCCGAGGCATTATATTATCTATTCAGGTTAGTAATCTGCATATACCACTTTGGGAGGCGTCATCAACTCACCATTTCGCTGCAGTTGCAGGGCGATCAGTGAGTTACTGCATTTTTGAATCAATCCTTGCTGGAACTGCTGTGAGTTGTGAGTTTTCGGGGGGAAACAGCTCTCGGCATTGCCCGCCCAGCGTCAATCTAGGGCGCTCGGTGTTGCCCGTCTGACGGCCGTCGAAGGGCCCGGCACGGCCCGCGCGGCGCTTAACGAAGGGAGTTCGGCGTCGTCCGCTATCGACGCACGCCCGATCAGCGCAACGTTCCTCGTCCCAAGATTTCACTGCCCTCCGTCGACTGCAGTATGTCTCCAGCCATCGGGCGCGAAACCGAACATCAACGGCCGTCTGGCGAGTCGGAGAATTCGTCTCGAGGGGTTATCGGCCCGCATTCCACGCCGATCGTATTAACCGCCGAGGTCACATCCAACAACGTCGTCGCACCCGAAGATATCTCGATGCAGTCGCCCGTAGCAGTCGTCGAGTCCCAGCAGCCGCAAGAATCGCATCTCGCGACGAACGCACCGGCGTCAGCACCCCCTACGGTCACTGGGAACTCCGTGTCCACACGCGATGAGGACGCGATGCATTTCGCGGACGCACTCGCTAATCGCGACAAGAATCAGGCTGCCACAGCTTTATTTGTTGCAGAGGGCGTCGTCGAGACTATTCAGATCCGTGCCAGCGCTGTGAGTGCTGCCGTCGTCAGCGCTTACAGCTCGGCGCGAGACGTGAATGGCTGGAGTGTTACCACTGCCGAGGGCGAACGGCAAGGCGCTGTTTTGCGCGTCGATCAGGCCCTGCAATTTATCCAGTTGGACGTCCGCTGCCTGGCTAAACATGCTCGGCTCGCGCTACTCAAACAGTGCGATGCTGCCATCCGTGGAAACGCCCCTTCACCCGAGACCGCGCGCGGTCCACTTCCCGGATATGAGCGTCGCCGCACCGCACCAAGGCCAGCAACTTCCGTCGCGCAGGGAAACATCTACCATTCAATACTCACGTTACTGCGCGACACCGTCCAAGACGTAGCTGGTTCCATCGTCTCCAACTTTTCGACCATCTATCGCCACAACGGAAAGCCGGCGACGCAGTTGGACGAGGTCACCCAGGTTGCTCTGCGCGAGCTTGATAGCCTGTTCGAAATGGTTCAGGACGCGTTCCACGCGTTCTCGCGCTGCGCCCGTCGCGCAGTACAGCGCCAGTTTGAACAGGCATTGGTCGGAAACGCATTGGGTATCGTGAGCGCGCGGGAAGGTTTGGATCGCTACGCACCGCCGTCAGGCTCGGATCTCTTGGATGAAGAGGAAATGGATGGGCACATAGGAGAGGCGTAGACGGACGACAACGTTAAGCACGGTATGAAGGTCAGGCCTGTCTATCATTGAGCGCGGCCCCGATAGCTGAATATTGGGTTTAGGAACCTACGGCCTGGAGTGTCGAAGGAAGGATCTTAGGTACGGCTGCTCACCGACTCCGCAACGCTCCTTGCTTATCACCTGTAGGGAGTTTGTGTCTTGGCATATATGACTTGCGCGCGTTGGTTTACTTGATTCCTCATGATGTCTTAAGTTAAGAGACTCAGTACATCATTGAACTCAAGGTGCGCGTTTCTCCCGAGTGAATTAATACGTGTTGCTAACAAACTTACTATCAGAGCGTGTGTGTGGGCGTATCATTCTATTCGCCTTGAATGTACAAATGAAAAGGCAAAGGAAAGCACCGCAGAGGTGGCCTCTGTATAATTCTGTCCCGTTTTCTGTCCGTGAAGTCGAGGAGCACCTGAGAGTGAGGATAGAATACGGGTCCGTCTCAACGAACCTCTTCGTCTACTAGTACATTTGCACACATACAGGCCCACATACGCACATAATCACGCATACCGTGTCCATTAAGGGTACCGTCGTATACCATCTCACATATCATGATTCCTGCTATTATCCGTTTTCTGCATGTACATAATACTATATAGAGCCTTATAAATGACATTTTATGATTCACTCTAGTTCTGGACAGGTCGTTTCCACTGCCGAGGGACATCTCTCACGTGTCCGCGCTGTCATCGCATCTACATTAATCATCAGGGTGTCACTCGACTGAACTTCTCGACGGACGCTGGGCGGATGGTCCAGACGAGCAGTAGGAGTGAAAGGCGAACTGAGAGCAGGGGGTCACCCACGAATACCGCGATGCGCAGAGGGTTCAGATCCAGATCCCGTAGACCAGCGCGGGTTCCCGAGATTTAACGTCAGATTGTAGCCCACGTCCCTATGATGTACATCATGACCCACGCTGCGAGCGTGATGAAGCTGTACAGAACAGCGGACAAGGCGTAGCTCATGATAAGGACACCTCGAGTCGATGAAGGGTATGACGCTGAAGAAGATGTAAATAGAGGCAGCCACCCCTGAAAGTATGGCGACCGCGATGGCAGGAGTTGCGTGGAGCGTGAAGAGGGACGGTATCAAACCCACAAGGAAGAGGGTGACGGCTGCGTGTACACAGTAAACCCGTGGCTAGGTGGTCCAGGCCGTAGCGCTTGATGGACGTTACGCGACGAAGCTCCTCCACCCCATAACTTTCAATAGTCTCTCCCGAAGAGCGGCTTCCCTTCCATGTGGAGTCCTTCAGCCAACCCTGGACCATCATGGCAAGTATGGCGCACAGCAGCGACGTGATCAAACTGAGAGACCAAAGGGTGGTGACAACCACAACCGTGAGTCCTTATCACTGGTGATGCATAGGGAGATGGAGGAAGGAAGCGCACCAGTCTTTTCCCAGATGGGCCGCGCGTTCGCCGCTACAAACCGCCGGACGTCGAGCTTTAGCTTCGGATCGTCTAGGACTGTCAAGACTGGCTCGTCAGTGCTCTGCTCGCGTGCTAAAGGCATAAGTAAGTGAGGAAGAAGACGTTATATATCTGGTTTACAAACCTGCCTCGGAGAACATCGATCATGGGCGCCTAGCTAGAGAACGACGTGGCATCGAGTCTTCCAAGCCGGCGAAAGTCCGCCGATAGGTGCTTATCATATCGTCTGACACTCTATGATTGCGGTCAGCTTGAAAGGACAAGACACATGCAGGGAGCTACGTACGCTAGGACCCGGTGTGGCATTGAACGAGACCGTCTCGCCGGGCGAGGCAGCGAACGGCTGATGTCAAATTTCACCTCGGACTGTTTGCCCTTATCGGTACCTACAGCCGGTTCGCGAGATGCAGAGATACTGGGAGCTCAAGCACAAACCGGTGTCATCGAGCGATGGTCGTTAAACGTTTCAACCAATGGTATGAAGACGACGACGATAGCGACGACGACAGCGGGCATACGCGAAACTCCTCCCCGCATCATCACCGCGACGTGCCCTAAGCACAGTCATGTGCAAGCCAAGGGGGACCCAGATCGGTCAGACCATATAGTGAGAAACGTGTGCTCGCAACCATACTGCGAGGTGGCGGCAATCTTCGAGCTGTCTTTCTCCGCGCCCACTTCCATCTCGTGTGGCGTGTCTGAAAGTTTTCATCCCTCCCTCCTCCCTTTCTGCTCAAGCAGAAACAGTAGTGCTTCGCGCTGGTGGTGCTCTAAAATTGTACCTGTACGAGTGCATCTCCCGCGTGAAGCAGGTCGAGGCCCTGGTCGTGCGCGCGTGCCAGTCCGCCCCGAGTCCCGGGCGTGGTTTGCGGACGCGTCTCCGGTAGGTCACGTGACCGCGTTTTCGGGCTGCGCGTCGGCCTTCGGCCTCAACCCACCCTCAGGAAGTACCTCAGAGATAGGCACTCGCTACAGAGGTTCTGCTTACTTGTATGCACACTACCTGAGGTCATCTAAATAAGAGATACTCTCAAACAGGAGGTCCTTTCGGACCTCCCTCCCCTCATAACCTTTCTACTGATTCCCTACGAGGCCGCGGTAACCCGCTGGACCACCCGCAGCTTGCCGGGTCGTGCGCGTCTGAGGCGTGTCGGCACGGTGATTGGCATAGCCAGAGTTCGGATCCGCCGGAAGACAAAGGAAGACCATCTCTTGATGTCGAACAATGACCGGACAATGACGGAGTGGGCTACTCCGGAATGGCACGGCCGTGGAGCAAGGCTACAGCGCAGTATCGTATGGTTCTGGCAGAACATATCTTTCCATCGCGATACGAGTATGATAGCACAAGGAGCTCTGAGTCACTTTATGTACAGGTGTCTTGGGATGTTTGGCTCATCCAGATAGCCACAGGCAATTGAGTATCGTACGGTACGCGTTCAAAGACTTGCCGGATGTGTCGCCCGACTCTCGTATGCTAACACAGAGTCCATGCTGTTGAGATACTCAGCAGGCTTGAGGGTGTAGCAAGAACCCGAATGGAACCACCTCAGCGTGCACTCCCCTCGTATTTCGACCGTTTCCCGACCGGCTGATGGCGCCAATCATCGCGCACAATGTACTGCCCCCTCTCTGTGCTGCGCTCCTCATCATACTTGCGCTTCTGCGAGAGAGTGTCCTCGTGTTCGCTCTGCGCGGTCCGCATGATTTTCTTCAGCTGCGCGCCCGCTTCGACCTGAATTCGTTCAAGCTGTGCATCCGTCTCACGACGCAAATGGGAGGCAGCGCTGTCAGCCGCAGCACTGACGACATCTGTCGTATGGGTACCAAATAGCCCAAGGACTGGACAAGAGTCAGAAAGCCCACTTGTAAGCAGATGAAGAGATGCCGCACCTCCTTCCCAGGAATGCATTAAGCGAGAGTAATGGAGCTCCATCCTCTCGCGTTGCTGTTCACGCGCGGCCATGGCGAGCTTGAGTGACGGTGTGAAGGTGTGTGTTGTTGGAGGAGCCACCTTATCCAGCGTTGAAGCAAGGTCGTCGTATGGTTTCAGCTTTTCTTCTTCTATATCATATGCCACCCTATCCACAGCTATCTTTGCCATAGTCCTAGAGAATATGAGATTCGCCTCAGGAAAGGTCGTATTACTCACTCTGCAATTGTTCTAAAAGAGTCGAGAAGTCTTTTGGTGACCTCATCCGTGTTAGGCATAGATGAAGGTGGTGGCCGCTGCGCTGTAATATCAGCACCCCCAGCACTCTTCATGAGCCCTTGAGCCGGCGTAGGATGTTCAAGAGATACAACGGCTAAAGAGGTCGATGTCAGCAGAGGCGATGCGTAACCAAATACTCAGCCATACCTTTCGCTGGCATTCCGGTCGCGCCTGTGTACAACGGGTCGACCGGAATGCGCCTGTCTCCCGGGTTCCCAAAGCGCTCCCGAGAATAGTCACCAGGCTCCCTCGCATGGCCTTGGTAACCTTCGTACGAAGGCTGGGATGTGTCAAAAAGATACGAGATTACAAAAAAGAATCAGCCGCACAACTTGATCAATGAAGCAAGAGCCACCATCCATGACTGGGGGGCGGGCGAAGTGTTGCGCGTCGCTAGCCCCCGTGCGCTCTGCAGACAGCTTACGCCGAGGTTGAGCGTGTAGTCTGTGTTCCACCGAGTGTCCGAGGTGACCGTCAGGATCTGGTTTGACATGAACAAAGCCGTTATGTGGCGGGATTGGTGGCCGCCAACGCGCATTCCGGTCTGCAGATGCACGCGGAGGGATACGAAATTGAGACAATGGTGAATGCGGGGCAGGGAAGGATGGCCTCGAAACTTGTTGCTGGGACTTGTTGAGCGGCATCTTGCGGTGGGCCCATTGCGGATCAAGGGGGTGAATATATCTGTGGGACGCTGTTTCAGACGCCAAAACAATGGAACTCCAGTGCTCTTACCCGCATTGAGAGCCGAGCTGACATCGGGGAGTCAGCGCCTGGCCCGTAACAAAGTCATAGTGCTGGCGGATACACCGATGATGAGCAGACATACGACGGGGTATCTTGAAGCTCACTCTGCAGGGTACCGTCTTATAGAACCCGGGACGGTGAGAGAAGTCTGGCCTGTGGGAGAAGTCCGATCGGTGCGAGAGGTTGGGCGAAGACATGCCGCTGAGCGCCAGGGCAGGTGAGAGCAAGACGAGTTGTGCGGCGGTAACCTGTAAACAAGGATATCTGAACTGACGCGAAGCGCTATCCAGTAGATGATTGCCTTGGAAGCGCTCACTTCTTAAGCAGTTTGAAGGCTCTCCACACACGCAGTGTTGATGAACAGTTTACACCGGCGCTGTGCCTGTTGATTGGCTACACAACCTTGGCGTTTCAAGATCTTCACCCCATACATAAAAGGCCTTCGGGACAATGAATGCCGGAAAGCGTAAAGAAATGGGGCGACAGCAAGACGCTGGGAGGCGCAGCACGCGTGCGGTCTGGTCTATCAGAATGTATAGGAGGTCGTGGGCAAGCATATGTACGCGGGCAAGAAACGACACAGTTGAATGGCAACAGCAGAGTGAATGCGACAATTGGAAGAGCAACGTGGCATTGCGTATGGTGCAGACATGAGGACAATGGCAGCATGCGCGCCTGCTCGCAATGCACTGACCGCTAGTCGAGAGCGGGAGAGGGGCGAGCATCGGTGACTATGAACTCGGTGAATCAGCATTGTAATGTTGAGAGATTCGAGAACCACCACACACCTGAACCGGGGCGCACGCAGGCGACCCCGCTGCCTCTCCACGCTGACTGACGACCGATCTCGGAGCGCGTGACGAGCAGGTGTTTCGCATCGTCGTCCGTACATGTGTTCAGGGCGGAGCGCAACTTCGTTCCGCTGTTGTCGCACGGATGCGCAGAGGATGGCTCTCATAGCATCTCCCGAACGGCGGCGGGCGCCACTCCAGTCTCTTGCAATGAGGTGACCGCGTCGAGTGTCATGTTCCATACAAAGGTGACTGCAGATAAGGTTCAGTGAGATGGATGCGACTGAAGCCAGGTACAACGCACGTATGGGCCTTGCCGTCTGAGACGCGAGGACCGATCGTCCAACTTGACGGCGCGTGAAGACGAGGGTGAAGTTCTCTTATGGGCAATACGTACGAGTAAGATCGTCATCGTGGCACATATGACTGCACAAGAAGACCTGTTAGGGGTATGACGCCGATGATAATGATAGATGAACACACCAGGTCTGGGAGAGGAGCCGCAGTTCAGTACAAAGCACGAGTGCGACCGTAGAATAAATTACGCCCGGGAAAATGGAGCTCCATAGCAGTAGATGAGCGGTACGCGTCGTAGTCGGGAGGAACGGCCAGACGACACAGTGGTGGTTCGGACTCAAAGAGCAAGTGGCGGTTGATCCTACCTTCGCGGATCCGATTCTAGCACGGTCACGCGAGTTCGCGCGCGCGACGCGTGAGCGCGTGAGCGACGAAGGGCGCATACGTTTGCGGGCCATGTAGAGACACAGAGCGGCGCAAGGAGTTGTATAGGCGGAAACGGAGGTAGTGTAGGTACAGGAGCGATACGGAGCGTGACAGACAGGTTGCGGTAGCGTGAGGTGCGTCGTATGCGAGGTCTGAGAGCGTAAGTAGTGGGTACTACGAGGGTAGCGAGCGACCAGGCATTCGTCGTATATACATTCAAGAGGGGATGCCGATCCGACGGGTCGATGGAGCTGGTGAGGGATTGTACTGCGACGATGAGGGGAGTGGGAGATAGCGAGCGGCGACAGTCCGTCAATGGGGCATAATCAAGAAAAAGGAGAGTGGGAGACCAAGATGAACGTCCGTGAGTGGGGAACAGACTCAGAAGAGATGGTGAGGCAAACATGAAGATATGAAGGCGCGGAAGTGATAGGTGACGTGCCGTAGCCCTGGCCGCCGCCTCCCTTCCAACTCCTCTACGCGTGTAACTTGCAAACAAGTTCCTTGACCAAAGCGAGCGCTCTGGACAGGGACGAAGGTGGAGGTAAGCAGCCGTTGTGAGTGTTCGCGTCACCGCTCGACTCATTTCTGGCCTGCCCCGGGCCAACGGTGGTAGGTTCCGCGGCGGTAACGCCTGCTTCGCCGCCGGAGAGCGCCTCGCGGCTCGTCACACCTCTGGGCTTGCGTTTGGATCCATTGATGTAAGCGAGGCTTTTGGCCTCGTCGTCTGCGACGCAGCGGTCAGGCTTCAGTCGACGAAAAACGAAAGCGATCACGTACTGAGCGCGTCTGGGTTACAGAACCCAACCGGGGAGTCGACCGGACTCGAATCCTCTGCCAAAGAGAGGTCGAGCGAGTCTGTGGCGCGACGGTTGATGGAGGACATAGGGCGTAGAGTTGTAGCAATAAAGTCGGAAAACGAAGGGTGAAAGGCGACGGGTGGGGAGTCGCCGAACGCAATACACCGGCGTTCAGCGCTCGTTGAGCGACCCGGGTCCCTAGAGAGCGAAAGAGAGAGGGGGGTGAGAAAGGAGAAAAGGAGACGAGTATTTTGTATAACTTACCTACCTCGGAGATCACCGCACCCGTACGCCACCAAATAAAGCGGGCAACTCAAACGGGTAAGTACGCATCACGCCTGTAGCCCAGCCGAGGACATCTCGGCTTGGTCGTGTACGTGCAGCGCCTCGGCCTGTCGTAGAGTCGAGCCCTAAGGCTAAAAGAAGACAGATAAGCTATTGAATCGCACAGGGAAGTGTTGGATACGGACCGCGTGGATTCTGGGGCGACGCCACGCACGGGGTGATGAAATGAACCGTCGTCGTGTGTCGTCTACGACATTTACACTCCGACAACTTGGTCGTTAAGCCCTGTATACGCTATCAGGGCCGGTTTGAACGGACGAGCGATGCGGTCATACCTTGATCCTCCGTGCCCGGACGAGTCCGTCGAACGAGCTCGCTGAAGGCGAGCCAGCTGGGTAGCGCAAACGACAGCCTTTGCTGCCGAGGACGCGAGGGAGGCTGCCCATGCTGAGCCGATAAGGAGACATGGCCCAAACACGGCCGCCATACCGCGAGGGTCCGCCGTCGCAGTGTCACTTTCTGACGCGCCCATCATGCTCCATAGCCGCCCATGGCTATGTAAAGCCAATCGAGATCGCAATCTCGGGGAGCTAGCGAGCAAAGGACCGCGCACCGCGAGCGGTCCCGCAGGGCGGCTGATGATCGGGCGATGCGACCAGTACGCCTCGCGGCCGTACGGTACGGTCCACGTCGCGAACCTACGCGCCCATTCACCGCATGAGCGTTTGCCTAGCGATGCGTCAAGAGTTCAGAACTCACCTCGTCAGTTACGGGCGGACCCTCGTCCGCTTGAACGTCGCGCGAGCCCGAGATGCGTAGCGCCGTTGAATGACAGCGCAGGCT